TTTTGAAAAATGTGATTTTTCGGCCGAAATATGGGATTTTGGTTGTTTTAAAAGTGTTTTTGAGCACAAAAATGTCAATTTTCGGGGTTTTCAGGTGCCGAAATGGCTCAAATTGCTCCTAAAATGTCGTGTTTGAGCTCATTTCGGAGCTCAAAACCCTCCGAAATCAAATGTTCACCTTTTTCCGGAGTCTCGGGTCCCTTGGATTCGTCGAGTAGAGATAGACGAGATGGAATTGACACGTCTTGTAGTCCGCGTTGTCTTTGAGCTGAAATTCTTTAATTGTGCTTAAAAATTGGAATTTGGGACTGAACAAACGGCTTAAAAACATGAAAATTCAGAATTTCAGCATAAAAATTGTGCCGGAAAATTTTTAATTTTCATTTTTCAGCCAATTTCGAGATATTTTTGAAAAAAAAAAATTTTTTTGGAATTTTTCATATTTTTAAAAAAATTTCAAAATTCTCAAAAACTCCATTTTGAGACTTTTTAGACTAAAATACGCCCAAAAACCCCGAATTTGCCCTTAAAAATGCTCAAAAACGCACCAAAAACGTCGAATTGTTCGGCTCAACGGATGCACCAATTTTTCGGACCTTCGTCCGATATCTCGTCAAATTCTCGGCCGTCCCATTGCCGGACCATGGCGAAAAATCGTCTCGATTGATGTCGTGGGGGAAAATTGCCGTGCCGGCGACAAAGAATGCGTAGGCACGAGCGTTGGTGACGATTGGCGGGTGCAGAGGCTTTGTTTGATTCAGAATCCCTCGTTCTTCGCTGAAAATAGAGGATTTTAGAGCTGAAAATCATCCAAAAAGGCTGAAATTGACATGTTTATGCCTAAAAGCCCATATTTCGGCCGAAAAATCACATTTTCCAAAAAAGTGCTCAGATGGCCTAGAGGGATTTTCGACCCCCAACTTTGGAGCCAAGGGGTCACAGGTTCGAATCCCACCGGTGGCAAATTGTTTTTCAAAATGTTTTCAGGGGTTTTCAGGGGCGGGAAATTCGAAAATCGAGGTCTAAAAGCTCAAAAAATCGATGTTGGGCAAGTTATGGGTCCATTTTTGCCCATCTTGGCAATAGGAATTTTAGAGCTGAAAATCATTGAAAAGCGCTGAAAATGACCCGAAATTCGGTCTAAAATCGTCAAAATTGACTTTCAAGCAGTGATTTTCCAGAAAAATAGAAATTCCAAAATTTGTCCTAACCTTGCCCAACGCTTGCCCAACGATTTTGAAACTCTAAAATCCGAATTTGGAGCGTTTTGAGCTGCAAAATAAGCTCGAAAACAGCTAATTTTAGTTCAGAATGAGCAATTTTAGCGCCATGGGCAAGACCTGGCCGTTCCTTGGCCACAAAAATTCCAAATTTCAACTTTTTGTGCTGGAAATCATTGAAAAACCGGCTGAATATAACCGTAAAACCCGAAAAAATGGTTTAAGTCGACTCAGAACTAGCCGAAATGGCAAATTCAAAATGTTGCCCTTCCCTTGCCCATCCCCTCAATTTTGACCAAAATGACCTTTTTCGTGTTCAAAAATCCTAAAATGATATTTTTATGCTCAAAAACGCTTCTAAAACTCCCGAAAACCCATTTTTCAGTCCAAAAATCGCATTTTCCAAAAAAGTGCTCGGATGGCCTAGTGGGATTTTCGACCCCCCAACTTTGGAGCCAAGGGGTCACAGGTTCGAATCCCACCGGTGGCAATTTGTTTTTCAAAACGTTTTTAGGGGTTTTCGAGGGCGGGAAATTCGAAAATCGAGATCTAAAAGCTCAGAAAATGGGTTTTTGGGCATTTTGGATCTTTTTTTTCTTCAAAAACTTCAAAAATGCCCAAAAACTCATTTTCTGAGTTTTAGAACCTCGATTTTCGAATTGTCCGCCCCTGAAAACCCCTAAAAACGTTTTGAAAAACAATTTGCCATCGGTGGGATTCGAACCTGTGACCCCTTGGCTCCAAAGTTGGGGGTCGAAAATCCCACTAGGCCATCTGAGCACTTTTTTGAAAAATGGGGATTTTGGGACTGAAAAATGGGTTTTGGG